ATTTTAAGAGTCAGAATGTGGATATTTCCCACCAGCAGTTCAGGTAACAGAGTCTTCGCCTTACAGGCACCGACAGCCATTGCATCAACTATGCAATTCAATTTTTCATTTTAAGATGTAGAAGGACGAATTTTAAATTACAGATTATTTGTGTAAACAAAACTGTAACARTATTGGCATTTTATAGTTTGATCCACATTTGCTAAGGTTAATAAATAAAAGCTCATTCACTGAAAGAAAAATTGGTGGCAAAATTAAGAAGAAATATTTTTAATTTTGCAGGGATGAATTTGGGCAACTCAATGACGGAAACACAGACCACTGCMTTGTATTTTATAAAATACAAACAGGAGAAATTAAGGGTACTCGAAGGACAAAGATTCTACTTTATGACTTCATTTCTATTTCTTTGTAACTCCATTAGCATCTAATTAAAAAGTTGTAATAGATTTAATTCTCTTGAATGAGAAAATCACATCATGAGTCAAACAGGCCTTAAAAAAATCAAAACCATAGAAAAGGGMCTGTGAATATTTGTGTTAAGAGAGTAATTAACTGATTTCAAATGCTTTGTTTGAATGTCTGTGCAATTAATGGAGTGAATAAACCACAGCAGCAGAGAGAATAATTAAGAGTAAAACTGTCTTCTTTCTTTGAGCAGAATTTTATGGTTTGACAGAGTGTGTACTTTTTCTTGGGCTTTTGGAGTAAGAGAAGCTCAGAGCAGGAATATCAGTCTGGAGACCCAGACCCACTGCCCACACATTCTTCACTGACTTAAGCAGTGTGGTATTTATAAATACCTCTGCTTAGAAATAGTTTGCTATATTTTTATATTTTTATATATTTATATTTTTATATATTTATATGCATACAGAAAGTTTGCAAGACCATTTTGCATAACCTTTAAGATAAGAGAATAACCTTTTTCTTTATTTTAAACACATAGGTGTCTCTGTGAGTGTCTCTACGTTCAACCTGGTTGCCATATCTCTGGAGAGATACAGTGCCATTTGCAAACCACTGCAGTCCAGGGTCTGGCAGACAAAATCTCATGCCTTGAGAGTGATTGCTGCGACCTGGTGTGTCTCCTTCACCATCATGTCACCCTACCCCATCTACAGCAAACTGGTACCTTTCACCAAGTAYAACAACACCACGGCAAACATGTGCAGGCTCCTTTGGCCAAGCGATGTCATTCAGCAGTCTTGGTAAGACACAACTGGCTGTTAGCAAATGTGTGTAGCAATAAGCCTATGGAAAATCAAGTATTAACTTTCAGCAAATGTTTACACTCTATCATGCTTATTTAAGGTGTAAAAAAAAAAAAACAAACCTCCAACGTGTTTCTTGGCTGCTTACATTTTGGCATTTGCATGGCTTTTTCCTTGTCATAGGAAAGATTGCCCAACATGACAATGATTCTCACACCATGGTCTGCTAAGCTCTGACACTCATGGTAAAGAAAGCATCTGCCACTTGTAGTAGGAATACTGCTTTCACTCCTTTACACATAAATTTCAACATTTTCAGAGAAATCCTTGATTAATCTTTGAGATGAGGAGACACATACAAACGCCCCTCCGTGTTCTGCCTTGCCTGTTAATTTGCTTGAATGTCCTCTGAAGCAAAGAAGTAGAATGTGAGGTTGCAAATGCCTTATTTGAGAACTGAATTCTTTTGGTCACTTATGGAGCACAGGGGCAGAGAGAAGAGGGGACAGACCTGCTCCAAGTCCTACACATCCAGGCAGAGTAAACAGCAGCACTATCAAACAGCAATAGTACTCAGACACGATGTCCTTGCACGTTGACTAAACACTGACTGGCACTGAGAAAGCGTAAGATTTTTYTTGGTACTGAAGGTCAGTTGGAACWGGGAAAAAGATWAAAGTTTGCACCACTTTGGTATGGTATTTCTGCAAAGAGAGTAAYTTTGTGTTAATGCTTTCAGTAGTCTCAGGTATTTGGCAGCATGAGGAGGAAGGGTGCAGGACAAAATTCTCCTCTGTGGTCTCATTACAGAGTCCCAAGTGGGTCACTGAGTTTGCACCACAATCACAGGGATCAGAAGAGACACAGGCTCATGGATGCATTTAAACTTCATTATTTCCCCACTCTGATTCTCACATCAGAGAATCTGACTGGGAGAGTAGCAGATGTGAAACCAAGTGAAAAAGGCTGCTGCCTTTACCAAAGAGGTTGCCAGCCCTGGAATCCCTCCTCAGGAGCTCTGCATGGCTCCAGCCATGGACACCCAGGTTGTGGCTGCCCTGTCTTTTCCCATGTGTGCCACGGCCCTCAGGAAGTCAGATATCTTGAAGTAAAATAATAGAATAATTTCCTTTGGAAAAGACCTCTAAAATCATTGAGTCCAACCATTAAAATATTTTTAATGTAGCAGGGGCCCCTTTAGGAATTAGCAGCTGCTCATTTAGCTCCTGCAAGGCAGTTCTGGCATTGTCCAAATCTACAGGGCATCCAGTGCTCATCTGGTTACAGCAGGGAGTCCCACTCATGGCAGAGAGAGCTTCTGCCCCCTTTAACCACWGTGGGAGTGCCCATCTGCTCTGGGCTGTGTAAGTGGGGTGAAGGGTCGTTTGCAGCCATGATGGTCTCATTCCTGCTGTACCTTTCTGCAGGAAGAAGGAAATGAAGTAGGAAGTTTCAATTTTCCAGAGGTATCAAAATGATACTTGGTSTTGTCATGAAAAGAATTTAGAAAACCTTGAAATCCTGTCTTCCCCARCTATCAATGGCATAAAAAAGAGTTTTTCTGGTTTTGTGCCATTCCCTGTTCTCAGTTTGTCTTTTGATTCCTTAGGTACACTTTCCTGCTACTCTCACTCTTTCTTATTCCTGGGATTATAATGATGGTTGCATATGGTCTAATTTCTTTGGAACTCTACAGAGGAATAAAATTTGATGCCAGCCAGAGAAAATCTTCACGAGGTAATAATGCATTTATGTTTGGGGTGGGGTTTTTTAAAGTGAAGATATGAGCAGTCATTTTGAGGCAGGCAAAAGGAAAGCTTTCTGTTTGCAAAATGATCATTATGGTTAGTTATGTCATGAACTTGTCAGCTGCATTTCTTGATTCAAGTTATTCTGTTGTTAGCAAATAAACCTCACCTATGGCTGGTTTGCAAAGACTCGGGGCAGAATACATTAGGTTTCTAATTTGTTTATTATAGAAATACCAAGATTTTTTTTCTGGCCAAGATGAGGACCATTTTTGTCAATAAATGCCACAAATTAGCGTTGTCAAATTAAGATAGAAGTGTAAAACTATCTTCTGTCCATACTGGACTAAGCAACATTATTACACTTTTTGCCTCATTTTGCATAAAGATAAGATGTGAGAATATTGAGACACAGGGGATTCAGAGTAGCTGATAACATGACTGGCTCAGAAGCAGGACAGTGYTTCCTTTGCAGCAGTTGTTCAGCCATGAATTATGTTGTTTATTTAGATGTAGACCGGATTCTTCATTTTTTTATTTTGACTCACTGTTCAGAGATATTTTGCCAACTATTTAAACAGCACTTTATATGCACAGAAAGAAGAATGAGTACCTGCAGCGCCAAATACGAGGATGGAGATGGATGCTACCTCAACAAAACCAAAAGAAAAAGGAAAATGCCATTGCAACAGCTCTCTGTTATGAGCCACAACAAAATAGAGAGGGTGAGAAGCAACAGCTCTTCTGCCAACTTAATGGCCAAGAAACTCGTGATCCGTATGCTGATGGTGATCGTGGTTTTGTTTTTCATTTGCTGGACTCCCATCTTCAGCGTCAACGCCTGGCGCGCCTTTGACACAGCATCTGCAGACCGGCGCCTCTCGGGGGCTCCCATCTCCTTCATCCACCTGCTGTCCTACACCTCTGCCTGTGTCAACCCCATCATTTACTGCTTCATGAACAAACGCTTCCGCACCGCCTTCCTGGCCACGTTCGCCTGCTGTGCCAAGCAAAAGCCGCCCGCCACACGGGGCGAGGCTGCTGAGGAAGAGGAGGGGAAAACCACCAGGGCTTCCCTGTCCAAATGCTCTTACACACACATGTCTGCATCTGCACCCCCCTGAGCCACGCCAGGCASGCAACGAGTGGCGAATCATTTGGTCTTGGAAGGGCACTGTGGCCTCGGCTGAAGGCRGTTTAGTTCCGAGTTAATAAAACACTTCAGCTGACAGTAAACAGAGAGACTCTTACGGGATATRGATGCTATCACTGTCTGAGTGTTACATCGCTTTCCCTTCAAAAGTACAAAGGAGGAAGAGGGCTCTGAAGATAAAGGACTTTATGAAAAGCCTTAGAAGTTGCTCTATTTATCATAAATTCCACTGCAAAAATTAGCATCCTCTACATCAACAGCTTTGCTCAGTTTTCAGATGCAGTTCTGAGTATCTCCTAATATCTGCAAGATGCTAACAGATTCTCCTCTAACATGAATATATGTAATGCAGTCTTCACTTCACTAGCTATGCCTCATAAGCAAAAATCTTTGTTATATTTGTAGTATATTTTCACATTATTTTGCCCCAGCTAATACATGTTGAGATAATTTTGGTGTTACTCTCACAGGAATTCTGGGGTGGCAAGAGTGGGCTTGTTCATGTGAAACTAATGCTTTTAAGCAAAATAATTTCTTTTTTAAAAATAAAATTAAAATAAATATTGTTGACTTCGTGGGTAGTATGCATTCTTCACTCAGAAAATCGAATAAAATAAAATGATCTAATTTATTTTTCACTTAAACCCCACAGAACAAGGACAAAGAAATGGCTTTCTTCTGTRTGGTTTAAAGCACCAACCTATGCAAGTGGTGGGGTTGTGTGGAAATTTCCACCTGGGAAGCACAGGGATAAATGCTTGGGATAAAGCAAAGAGGTATTTTACAGAAGATGCAGGACTGGAGACGCAGGTTGGTGGCCACAGCAGTCACATTTCACAAATACATTCACAGTCACTGCAGGTACAACACTGCCAATATGAAAATAAAACCACTGGGTGCAGAATGGCAGAAAGGGCAGATACAATGAGCAAAGGTTGAAAGGCTTTTTTAGAAAACAATTTTTCTAAACTTTGGAGCAACTATTTTCTCCAAATACGCATACCTGTGAACAGATCCCACATAGAGTAAACCAGCTTGGAATGAAGCAATTGTTGGTGCTTTTTATAGAGCAAGGAATTCAGTCTCTTTCCTGTACAGGTGGGTGTGAGTATTCAGGTCTCGTTCTTTGCTCTGTGGAACTCAGATGGAGAAGTTGCATCACTTTTCTTTTCTTTNTTTTTTTTTTTTTTTTTTTTTTTTTTTTTTTTTTGGTTGAAATATCCTGTTAGAGATGTTTCTATCTTCTAGCTGAATCAATATCATTAAAAACTCTTGTTATTAGACAGAGATTAAATTTGAACACAGCATGGAATGTAGATGTGGATATTAAATAAGAGTTCTCTCAAGGTTTTTAATCAGGAAAATCTGATCTCTTTACAAAATGATTCTAAATTAGAAATGTACTGTGAGTTCCAGCACCCAGATCCATGTTCTGCACTCAGTTATTGCCTGAAATGGTTTGTCCTCACAGCTTAGCACACAACTTTGGCTATTATGTTTTTTTGCATCCAGCTTGTCCGCAGACAGGAAATTAAAAAAAAAAATTCTAAACACTATTTATGCACAATCCATAGAAACAATGTTTTGCCTGCCTTGTTAATAAAGTGGCACTGCTTCTGGAACAGCACTGAGACTACTGACATCGATCTGACCTTTTGCAAATACCCAACGAATTAAATTATGGGATTTAATTCATAACAACGAAATGAAAATTTTAYTTTACTTAAGGATGCAAGTTGAGACCCTCTACAAACCTACCCTGTGTGTTGAAACTGAAGGAACAAAACTTAGGTGCTTTGGCATTTATGTGGAAGAGTGACAGCAGAAAATTGTGAAGTATCTGATACCATTTAAAAGCCTGCATCTATTATAGATAATAGTTTTAAAATTGTTGTTTAAGTAACAAAACCCCTCACATTTTTATGATGTACTGGATGTGACTGTTGCTGGCTAGGTGCTGGCGAGGTGCTCTGTGTGTCCTTTCAAAAGCAAATTCCTCTCYGTAGATGCAGATTCTCCAGTACCTGTAGAGTGACGTGCCCAGTTCACCTGCTCCCCCTGACTGAGCTGAGGATAGTGGTTTCAGATGAAAGGTAAAAGCTATTTTCAACAATGCCTTAATCAGATCTCAGCCCCCCGTGGCCTCCAGAACCTGCGGCTGAAAGGAGCGGAGTTTCTGATTGATTCCCCTCTCGGAGCTGTCAGGGAGCACAATTTGGAGGTGATGAAATGAGAGAGGCAGAAGGTGGAGTGGTGGCTGGGAGACAATCAGGGAAGGGTTGAAATGTGCCATTTCTCCGAGGCCTATCTGTGTGTGTGTCACTCTTCCTCTGCATTGCCCCCTCTGCACCTGTTTTCTTTTTATACCAACACAATAATTCTTTTGATCAAGCTCCCAAAGCCACGAACCTTACACCAAATTCCAGCAAGAATTAGGAATCAAACTTTTTAAATGCAATATTACAATCCAGTAATTTTGTCTTCTTCTGCCCTGATCTCTTAGCACAGGAAATTTCAGTCTTTCTGAATCTTAATGACTTTTTTCCTGATCTGTGCATTGCAGAAGTCATTCCTGGGTCAAAATGGTTTCCTTTCATTGCTAAAGAATTGTGACATCCTTCTACCACCTTTAATTCAGATGCTGATGTCACTGCTGATGTCAGATGCTGCTGTCATCTTCAGCAACAAATATGGGTGGAATAAATATACCAAAAAAGTAAGCCAATGAAATCTTCTCATTTTAACAGTAGTTTACAGGGGTTGTGAGAAAAAAATCCTATCCTACTATGAGCAGTCCCTAAAAGCAAACAATTTTCCAGATGTAGCAGGCAAATTGCAAACCAATGAATTTCAGGTGCATAATGCTCATAAATCTCTGAAGTTTTTATCTTCTTTCCCTTTCTCCCAACTCCTGTTTTTCCTTCCCCTCCCTCTGTCTTTCTCTTATCTCTTTCAGCTGCATGACACTATCTGATTTTTGTCCTGCATGCTTCTCAGTCTCTAGGTTACTTTCCTGCCACCACCAATTGCTTGATGATGTTTTCCTCTCTGACAGGTTTATTTTCCTTCCCAGATTTACYTTCCCAGAAAGCACTCTCATCTTCATTTCCCCCCATCATCTCCGGCTGACAGACTCCTGGAGCACATTTCTCCCAGCAATATATCCTGCCCACAACACAACAGCTCTGCAGTCACTCCCAACAATCCTTCATCCAAGTCTCCACATCGGCTCTTGAACAAGCAGGATGTGCTGGCTCAGAAAACWGAAGTGTAGCATTAAATGACACCCAGATCGTCCTTTGATACTTCTGTCACTATTATTTATAACTTCTGTTATTCGGGCACACTTTAAGACTGATGCTTTAAAATACTCCTAAATACAGGATTTGGAGAGGGGTCAAAGTTAAGGTATTCTGCTGTTGCCATGGCCTCTTTGCTGATGCCATCAAGCCCTTCTTGGCCAGGTGGGGACCCTGTCCGTGATCCCACCTGCTCCTGCATCTCCTCCTGCTCCTCCTGCCTCTGAGCCCAGGGATGGTGCAAMCCTGCACACCTGCCAGGGTCACCACAATGCTTTTCTGGCCTGGAACAGAGGACTTCAGGRTCACTCAATACTGAAATGGATGTTGAGCTAAACTGAGGGTTTCTAGAGGCAAAGATGCCTATTCTCAGAAGGAAAGTATAGAAAAATAAAACCTAATGGGTTTGACTTTGAGTAAGGATTATGTGAGAGCAGAGGCTATAGCATTTTTACTACAGCATCAGAGTGGTAGAGAGCGGAAAATGAAAGTTGAGACATAGTTGGGTTTTATTTGTTTGTAAAATGTCTTGCTCTTCCACTTCAAATATAATATGGACCAAACAAACACCACCACTTCTCTCAGGTGTGCTTGTAGGTCAGCWGTTTGCTCACCCAGTTGCCAGTTTTCCAGTCAATTTTTCTACATGGATTATTAATTTCAGTTAAACAGCTTCAGATTTTTATGCACAATCCATCTCTCTAATGGCTTACATCCAACATAGGAATGCATGCCTTTAACATGCCAGAATTTCTGTCTGAGTGGCCTAAAGAAAAAAAAAGGCAAAGGAAATGTTCATGAATTGTAAAGCTCCTGTTTTGCTTGCCTAATGGCAATTCATCCCTGCTAGGAGCTATTTGTCTGCATCTCCATAGATAACTATTTCATTAAGAGTTTTCTTGGCTTCCACTCCCAGTTGTGCCCAAAACGCTGATTTTTAGCTAGTGAGATGTCAGCTGTTCCACTGTACGGTGAGACAAGAATAAAACAAACTCATTAGCATCAGCTGGTAGTAAACATCAAGTAGGAATCATCCCCGATGGGGTAAACACCAGTTAATTGATGTCCTGCTATTTTGACAGTCATTAAAATTTAAAAAAAAATGTTTCCTGATAGAATGAAAAAATGCAACTTATAAACCAAGTTTGATTTAAAACAGYAGACAAAAATCAGTGCATAAGTCCTGTGAAAGTCATAATAACACCAGGGTTACAAAACAGGCACGGAGAGAAATCACAGGTACAGAACCTAAATCCACAGGAAAGACAAGGGGCTACTCATGCTCTTTGCATGCTGTCAGAGACAATTTTTTTGGTTATTTTTGAATGGACATTGGCTCAGGGCCTTTTTCTGAGAATATTTAGCAATTGCTAAGAGGCCTCATTCCTGACCAAGTGAAGAATGACACACAGAGGTGAAACTACAGGGACAACTGTGCTAAACAGATGAGAACGCCCAAGAGAGAASTGTCCAACCCCTGGGAGCTCTGCATTGACTCCTGCAAACCTGCTGTGGGCAGGTTGACCTGAGACCGTCAGGATTTCATAGCTGAACTGAAAGCAGGTGTRGAGAAACCAGAGCTGTTCCTTGCCCTGAAACTGGATCAAAACTCAGCCCATGTCCTTGTGGGGACATCTGGCAGTGCTGCTGTGACTGGCTCGCTGTTACTGCAAAGGAATATAAGGACAGTAATGGCATCCAAGACACCGTGTCTTTGGARTTCCTTTTTCTGTGGCAGCCCAAGAGATGG